TACTTCATTCCTTTTTTGGGGGAGTGGGGAGCAGGGTCTCCACTGTGTCCCCCAAGCTGGAGTACAATGGTACAGTCATGGCACACTGCAGCCTCGACCTCCCAGGATCAAGCAATTCTTTCACCTCAGCCTCCTGAGTAGCTGGGAGGCACTCACCACCATACCAGCTAATTTTTAAAATTATTTGTAGAGACAGGGAACATTGCTAAGCCTGGTCTCAAATTCCTGGGCTCAAGTCATTTGGGCCAGTGTAAGGCCCAAAGCTCTATCCTCAGGGAGCTTGTATTCCAGTAGTGTAGACAGGCAATAACCACATAATGTCAGATGGCAAGCATGAGTGAGGGGAAGAAGAGCTATTTCAGATAGTGTGGTCAGGGAGGACTTTTTGGAGGAGGTGACACGGGGCAGAGATCTGAAGATACAATCCAATCTGGGGTCTGGAGCCAGAGGTTCTTTCCAGGCAGAAGCCAGCTCAGGTAGTTCAAGGCATAGGAAGATGTTTACCCTGACATCCCAGGATTCTTTCCTGAGTATATTTGGGTGTTTTTTTTTAAGATGAAGTCTGTTGCCCAGGCCAGAGTGCAGTGGTGTAATTTTGGCTCACTGCAACTTCCACCTCCCAGGTTTGAGAGATTCTCCTGCTTCAGCCACCCACATAGCTGGGATTACAGGCACCCACCATCATGCCAGGCTAATTTTTGTATTTTTAGTAGAGACAGGTTTCACTCTGTTGGCAAAGCTGGTCTTAAACCCCTGACTTCAGGTGATCTGCCCACCTCAGCCTCCTGAAGTGCTGGAATTACAGGCGTGGGCCACCTCGCCTGGCCTGACATCTATTATCTCTTGAAGGAGCCCGGCTAGAGGGTGAGGGAGCTGCTCTGGCCTTTTCCTGCATGGAAACCTGTGAGCAGGTGGAGTGCGCACTGAAGCGATGAGAGGACCTCCTAGCCAGGGGACGTCTAAAAGTATATATGCTGTCCTGGAGGGGAGTGGTGGTGGGGGAGGCATTAAGAACATTTCTAAGTCTGGATCTAAGCTGTCCACACTACCTTCGTAGGTTGGACTCATTGAGGTTGTAAGTGGACTGTCTGGCCAAGGCAGGGTTTGTTTGTTTTAACAAACCATCAAGTGTGCTTGTAAGCCTGGTTTATCCCAGAGCCGGGGTATACAGTAAGTGCTCTGCAGCCTCTCCACCACGTTCCTCATCTCATCTCCCGCCAGTGTTCACCCAGAGGTGTCATACACAGCGCCACGGAATGGGGCGTCCACCTGCAGTTGTGCAGGCAGTCTGGAATGAATGGCAGGAAAAACTCCAGCCCTGAGGAGACCACAGGCTTAAATGTATGACTTTGGCCCCAAAGGCCCTCTAGTAAGTTGAGCCTGAAAGTAACTCTTCTATGTGCTCGGAGCTTCACAGTGTGCACAGCTTGGCCTCAGTCTTTGGTTTATTTCTTCCCTCTTGCCTGTGTGTGGCCAGCAGGGGTGGGGGATGTCACCATCCCAGCCTGTAGATAAAGAGCTGGAGGAGCTGAGAGAGTTGATCCCCTGGTGGGTGGTGGCAGCTGCCAGAGACCTGGGTACTGTGCGTGCCTTATCTCACTGCATCTCCCAGACACTCTCCCAAGTGAAGAAGCTGAGCCCTGGGTTGATGAAGCACTTGCTCAAGTCACCAAGCCCAAGTGGCACAGCTCACACTCCCAACCCAGGGTGCTCTGCTGAGGGAGAGCCCCAAAAGCCTGGGGAGGAGTTGGGGGATACTTGGCTCCTAAGCATTCCTTCTTTTGTGTTTACCTGGTAGAAGTGAACAGTGTGCCCCCAGGAGGCTGGATGCAGCCTTTGGAGGAGATGAAAGGCTGCAGGCCTAGCAAGGAAGGCTTAGGATCAGCTGCAGCTTCTACTTCTCGCCCTTGGTGTCACCTCGTGGCTGACCTTCCCCTCTCTACGTCTACTCTCTCTGGGCCTGGGCATGCCCCTGCCACATGCAGAAAGAGCCTGTGCTATACCATTTCTCCCTGGAACTCCTTGGTGGCCAATGGGACTGTCACTCTGGGGTATCAAGGTGGACAGCGTAGGTGGAGCCTTGCATTTGCCATCCTTCTTCCTTCCCGGAACGCTTGGCCCAGTGTCCACCCACATCCTTCTCCCACCAAGGCTTCCTCCTAATGGGACCGTGGATTGAGAAATGGCCCCTCAGGGCTGGGGCTGCCCTTGGAGGTGGGAAGAATGAGAGGTTGGCCTGACTGGGGAAACCTCCAGCTGAAGCCGGCAATGGGAACATAGGATTAGGGTTCCTGCCAGGCAGAAAAGGGTTTCTCGTTTACCATGTCCTCACCTCCCTCTTTCAGGTGTAATGCCTTTTCCCATGACCGGGAGTTCATAGAAATAGTTAAGTATAAGATGATCGTGTGCAGAATGTTGGTACTAAACCAGCATGGACAGTTTCCCAGATTTCTCTACTACTAACTTGTCTGCACTGAGTGCGACTCACCCCTAACCCAGTGGGAGTGCTGACTGGAGGGGGCGGGAGGTCGGTGGCGTGAGCTCCAGATGGTGCATGTGCCCTTGGGCTTGGCATGGGGCATGTCTTCGTGTGAAGGACCTCAGGGAGCAGCGAGAGGGCTGAGCTGAGCTGCATGTGTAAGGGCCCTCCTGGGCCTGTGCCCTGTGGCTGACCTTTTAACAAAACCCTGGGACCAGGGGCTTCAGGGCTGACCAGGACCTGCAGCACTTCCCAGCAGGAAGCCCAGCCTCTAGCCGGTCTCCCTGGCAGGGGCTGGGTTATGGATTCCTCACGTCGTCGGCCTAAGAGACCTGAATGAGTCCCATCCCTAAGATGTGACATTTGCATTTTCTATTGCTGAGTAGTGGCTCTGTGATTAAAACAAGAGTCGAGAAAGTCAAGGGGTCTCTGTGGCCCTACCACTCCCAGGCTGGAGGGCAGACTCTTGCTTTGTCGGCCCCACCTCAGCCCCTGTCCATAGGCAGAAGGGGTTTTTATTAATACGTGATCGTAGACTTGTAGACGATGAGATTGTGGCTTGCTTTGAAAATTCTGCACAAAAGCCTGGTTCCCGGTAGCTCCACCAGCCCTCAAACTTTCCAGTAGCCCCGTGATGCAGCTGGAAAGCCCAAAGCCCAGTTTTTCAGGCTACCACACCCCGTGCGTGGAGGCTGCTGGGAGGTTTGTGCTAACTCCATGAGCCTCAGTTCCTCCCTGCCCCATGGGCTCAGAGGCCCAACACCCCTGGGTACTGAGAGGTCAGGGTGCCCTTCACAAGCGGGCAGGGTCTGGGCAGTCCCTTCAGGATGTGGGGTCAGTCGTAGGAGGGCGGGTGCCCCTTGGCTGCTGAGTCCCTCGACTCCTGGGGGCCACCAGGTGGGAACTGGGCTCTACCCAACAGTAGCCGCCCCAGCCACAGTGCCGGCCTTGGGCTGCGTCTTTTTGCTAGATCTCTCCTGGGTCCCTCCTTCCTTCTCACTCAAGTCCAACCCCAGATACTTTCAGATACCATGATTCTGAGGATCTGGTGCCCCTGGGAAGGTGTGACAGTCCCGCCACTAGCTGGCCGAGGCCCCAAGCTGCCAGCGTGGCCTTCTTGAGACCCTGTGTCGCCCTCCCAGGGACCAAGAGCACGTGGCTGTCTGATAAGCCTGGCCTGTGTGACTGCTCGGGACATGTACCCCCAGGTCACTGTACAGCTGAGCAGGACAGCTTGGGGGTTCAGGGCCATGATGCATGTGTCTGTCTTCTCTCCTGGGTCACAGCCACCCTACGTCATGCTGCAGCGCTGCAGAGATCATGGCTGTCCTCTTTTTCCACACCATGCGCTACAAGTCCCAGGACCCCCGGAACCCGCACAACGACCGCTTTGTGCTCTCCAAGGTAAGAGCCCAGCTACTTACTGCCAGCCACACGTTGCCTGGGACTGGGGTCACATGGGCCCTGGAATGGTGAGTGATCTCTGAGGAGGCCTGGCTAAGCCCACCTCTCCCAGGTTCCTTCTCCCTGCTCGTCCTGGCCCTTCCCTCAGTGTCCTGCTCTGTGCTGACCCAGCTAGCTAAGGAATACAGGACTGAATGGGTTGCTCTTCCATGGAGCCCGGGTACATTATCCACGCTTTAACCCAGAGAAATGGAGTAGGGACCACGGAAACATCTGCTGTGTGTTCTGCCCAGTCTGGGTGTTGACAGGTAGGACTGGCATCTAGGTCTGGGTTCCCTGCCTGCTCTTTCTGTTGCCCAAGCACTCCCCAAGCCATGGTTTGCCCCCGTCGGGGTGGTGGTGTGTTGTACCAGGGTTTTGGATGGGGACCCCCCTGAGCTACCCCTGCTGGGTGGAATCACAGCCACAAACCCCTAAAATCCACCTGTGCCCAGGCCAGCCTCCATGGCATCTGGTCTCTTGGGGCAGGCTTTAGAGCTTAGAAGTCTGTCCAAGTTGTTCCCATGCCAGAAGCCAGGGATTAGGGCGGCCGGCTGCCTGCTGGGGTTTTGGCTGCATCCAGCCTCACAGTTGTGCCCCCTGCACCTGTCTTAGTGTCGCCTGGCCTTGGCTGTGGGAACTTTGGGCTGAAAACCAAAAGGCTGAAGAGGACTGAAAGGGGAGAAGTAGCCTTCACTTGCTTCCTCCCCTGAAATGGATGCTGCAGCTGGCCAGCTTGGCCAGGCCCCAGGGCTCAGTGTGCAGTAGGCACAGCCCCAAGCGGATCCACTCCCCACCTGACCCCACCCCACTGTCCATATCCCGGCAGGGCCATGCAGCTCCCATCCTCTATGCGGTCTGGGCTGAAGCTGGCTTCCTGCCCGAGGCGGAGCTGCTGAACCTGAGGAAGATCAGCTCCGACTTGGACGGGCACCCTGTCCCGGTAAGTGCTCCCGCCAGAGCCTGCCAGCCTCTGCCTTTACTTCTTGTTTCCCAGGCATGCAGGATGGGGGAAGGGGTGCCCACTGAGAAGCCAGAGGTATTGAAAGGTGGAAGAGGGCGTTAAGACCAGGAAGGAAGCTTTGCACAGTGGCATTATCGTAGCCAATGAGGTTTATCCGAGGCACCATTATTGCTAATTGAAAACTTCCCAATACCCCACAGTAATGACTTGCAATACAGTCGGTACTGGCAATTTTCGACAATCTCTATGGAGACTGATTTTTAAATAAAAAAAAAAAGACCAGGAAGGAAAGTAGCAGGTGTTTTAGGGGCATGTATTCACCCCACACTGGTGCTAAAGGGGAAGGCCTTCTGAGGTCTCAGCCAGGGGTGCTCCGGGATGACTTCAGAGAGGGCCTCTCCCCAAGCTTCCCTTGTATGCTGGGTCTCCCTGGCTACGTAGCTACAGCTGGGGAAGTGAGAGGACTCAATAAGAGGCTGGATGCAGGATTTGGCGCCACCCTGGGGAAGGGACCTGGTTTGTTCCTTGGGGTGCCAGCTGGTATCCCTGCTAATGTTTAGACTTCATGGATTACCACAAAAACTGTCACTGTGGTCTGGGTCCCTACAAAGGCCAAATGTTCTGTGTCAAAGTTTTCATGATTTTTTTCTTCCAGCCCTTTGTGAAGTGGGTGATGTGGGAACTGAGGCTCAGAGTTCAGTCCCTAGCCCGAGGCCTGAGGCCACATAGCTGGCTAGTGGGCAGGGCTGGGATTTGAACCTGCAGCTATAATTAGTTCATTAGGTAGAGACCACCCTGGGGCCTGACCTTCTGCAGGGGAGGGGCTCTCTGGGTCTGGGTGGGAGTGTGGCTACCCAGGCGGGTGAGGCCAGAATCCCTTCTTCTCTCTGATTAACTATGGCCTTCTGTTATGACAGAAACAAGCTTTCACCGATGTGGCCACTGGCTCCCTAGGCCAGGGCCTTGGGGCCGCATGTGGGATGGCCTACACTGGCAAATACTTCGACAAGGCCAGGTAACACACCTACTTCGCCCACTCCCCACCCGCCTACTCCCCACCCCCACCCTTGATAGTTTTGGGGAGTGGTCCTCAGGGACCCACCCTTCACTGCCACCCCCTAGGTACTTCCTCTTTCCTGGCTAGGGCAGAGTAATACACACACATGGTCTCTTTTGCTCTTTGAACACCCGCTATGGCTGGTGCCATGACCTGCCCTTCTCAAATGAGGAGATATTCAGGAGTTAAGGAACCTGCCCCAGGGTCCCTCAGCAGTGACTGCTGGGCCAGGTTTGCACAGAGTGAATGCTCCCAGTCACGTGCTCTTCTGCCAGAGTGCTTAGGCTGAAGACTTCCTGTGTTGCCCCCAGCCCTGTGGCCAGACCCCAGAAATCTCAGAAAGACCCACCTCCAGGCCCCTGTCTGACTAGGCAACAGGAGCCCAGGCCTGAGCCACTTGCCTTTATCTTGGGGCAAGATAAAGGGGAGGGTTGTAGGCTCTGGGGGGTCCTGGGATACCTGTAGGCCACCTCCTATCAGCAGGGAAGAAACAAACATTTGAGATATTGAGCCTTCGGAGGGTGGCCTAACCAGAAGGGTGTGCTGCTCCAGCACGGAGCAGGTGGTTTGCAGGAGCAGCCCCTCGCAGCCCCTCACAGCCCCTCGCGGCCCCGCAGGCAGGTTCTAACCAGAAGTTGGTCTGCTGTGGTCAGATTTGGCCTGCAGGGATGAGGTTGTAAACTGTTAAGATTAATGGCCGTCTGAGGGAAGGATTGCTTGAGGCCAGGAATTTGAGCATAGCCTGGGCCACAGAGCAAGACTCTCTACAAAAAATACAAAACTTAGCCAGGCATGGGGGTGCACACCTGCAGTCCCAGCTACATGGGAGGCTGAGGTGGGAGGATCACTTGAGCCTAGGGGTTCAAGGTTATAGTAATCCATGATAGAACCACTACTCCAGCCTGGACTACAGAACAAGACTCTGCCTCTAAAAAACAAACAATTTTTTTAAAAGAATAATCATCATATTAGTCTGTTTTCACACTGCTGATAAAGGCATACCTAAGTCTGGGAAGAAAAAGAGGTTTAATGGAGTTAAATTCTACGTTGCTGGGGAGGCCTCATGGTTATGGCATAAGGCAAGGAGGAGCAAGTCACATCTTACATGGATGGCAGCAGGCAAAGAGAGCTTGTGCAGGGAAATTCCAGTTTTTAAAACCATCAGATCTCGTGAGACTTACCATCATGAGAACAGCATGGGAAAGAACCATCCCCATGATTCAGTTATCGCCCACTGGGCCCCTTCCACAACCTGTGGGAATTATGGGAGCTACAAGATGAGATTTGGGTGGGGACCCAGAGCCAAACCACGTCAGTCACTCATCAGAAGGATTCCTTTGCCCTTTGTGGGGTAGGCCCTGTGCTCAGTGTGCATGTGCTGTTTCGGGTTCCACCTTGAAAAGCCCCATGAGTTGGTAGTGGTGTGAGAACCGTAATTTGTCTTACAGGTGAGGAAACTGAGGCAAGATGCTGGCCTAGGCCATCCAGTCGGTGATGGAGGTACCTAGCGTCCGTATTCAGCATTCCCAGGCTGCTCTGGGAGAGGCTGAGGGCTGCACAGGAGCTGGGGGAGCCCTGTGGGCGGGAAGCCTACTGGAGGAGGAAGGCCAGTGGGGCCGGCCCGCAGGGTGGGAGAAGGGCCCAGCTCTGCAGCTGGTGCCATCTCCACTGCCCTGCCATCTACCCTGCAGTAGAAGCGCCATGCCGGGGCTGTTGTGGGGCTGGCAGGCAGGTGGGGTTCAGGATGACTATGGGTCCTTGAAGACAGGAGTCTGCAGGGAGCAGTTTCTGTGTGCAGGCCCTTCCCCAGGACTGGCTCTCCAAGGAAGCCTCACAGTCCCTTCCAGGCCCCCCCTGGCCAGTGTCACCGACAAGGGTTTGCTTTCAGTCCCTGGCTGAGCCTTGGGGCAGGCTCAGCTATACCCAGAAGTGATTCACCATGAAGTAAAGAGGGAGAGAGACAAAGAATGGGATGCATGTTTAAGAGCACTGTACTTGGCAGAGAACCAGAGAAGTGAGTTAATTATTTCCTACAGTTGCTGGAAATAATTCCCTGTGAAGGGGCATTTCCTGACCCTTACATAATGGAACAAGTCAGTGTAGGGAGAAGGAGTTTAGCTGGGTTCCCAGAAGCCCGGGTGGCTCAGGGCCAGGGTTGGCTGGAGCCTTGGCCCTCCGACTGTACCTGGGGGAGGAGCCAGGGCATCCCAGGATTATCATGCCAGGCCAGGCACCCAGAGGTAGCGTCTTGATAGAGCAGATTGGCCTCCGCTCACTGTTACTTCCTGCCCTCCTGTTTAAAAAATACAGAATGGTATTAAGAAATGAACATTTTCCGTATTCTTAACACACTGCCTCCCACCTCCGATTTAAATCTAATGATGTGTTTTGTCCATGTTATCATGAAAAAAGCTTACAAATTTGTAATCCTAGTGTGTGTGTGTGTGTGTGTGCGCGCGTGTAATATATATATATATAAAAGCAAATTTTACACTTTAAACCAAAAGCCTTCTATCATGAGCATTTTCTCATGACATTAACTGTGGAGAGCTGATTTTTGTTTTTTTTTTTCTTTTCTTTCTTTTTTTTTGAGATGCAGTCTTGCTCTGTTGCCCAGGCTGGAGTGCAGTGATGCAATCTCGGCTCACCGCATCCTCCACCTCCTGGGTTCAAGCAATTCTCCTGCCTCAGCCTCCTGAGTAGCTGGGATTACAGGCATGCACCACCACACCTGGCTAATTTTTATATATTTAGTAGACGGGGTTTCACCATGATGGCCAGGCTGGTCTCAAACTCCTGACATCAGGTGATCCATCTGCCTCAGCCTCCCACAGTGCTGTGATTACAGGCGTGAGCCACTGCACCCAGACTGAGAGCTGGTTTAATGATCATGTAAAGTTCTGTTTTATGGAGATGCTATAATCCATCTAGCCAGCCCTGCTGTTGGACATGTAAGGTAGTTTCCAAATCCTTCTGCAACAAATGTTGACCTTCTGCTTAGGGTTCCTTCTCTTCATGTTAGTTCATGTCTGATGTTTGCAGCCCCCTACCCCTAACTCTAACAGCTCAGGCAATACCAAGCCTCAGGGTTAGCCTAGGCTCCTGTAGGCCCCCTTTCCTGTCCACAACCCCTTCCTTGGATTTTCCTCGGGACCTCAGAGCCTCCTCTGACCTGAGTCTGTTGGCCCTGTAGGGCTTAGCCTTGTGCCTAGTCTCAAAGCCCAAAGCTGTGCTGGGCCTCCCATGCTAACCTCAGTTTGGCTTCCCTGGAATCCCTTTCTGGGAAGTCAAGTTCCCTATAGGCCTCTCCGGTTCAGCCCCATCATGTGGCCCCTTTCTGGAGCTGCTGTGCCAGACTGGAGCCCCTCCAGGGTCTTGGCCCCCTCAAAACCCATAAGGGAAAGAGGAGGCGAGGCTGGGACAGAATGGGGCCTCTGAGGTGTGGGCCTGAGGCTTTGTCCTTTTGGCCATGGAAGCAGAGGCCTGGCCTGGCCTGGTGGAGGCCACAGAAGAGTAGCTTGAGGCAGGGGAGGCTGCAGGGAGCGCTCCCAACCTGCTGGCATGTGGAAGTGCTGAGTCATGCTGACTGCTCCGGGGGCTGGCTGGCCCTGCCTTGGCCCTGCAGCAGCAGACAGGCCTGGAGGCTTGAACTGCTGAGCCTGCAGCCAGGTTGAGGGCCTTTTACTGCAGGAGCAGGAGGGCAGCTGTGTCCCCTCTGAGCCCAACCAGGCACCAGCCTCATTTCCTGGGGCCACACAGCTAGACACTGGGCAGGGTAAGGGGAGGTGCCCAGGTCCCGCCACTCCTCACCCTATGTGCATGCCTACGCTGAAAGGAGCAGACATTCTGGCTGCAGTCGGGCCTGCGTTTGCATCCTGGCTCAGCAACTTCCTGACAGCGCGACCTTCAGACAAGTCCTGTGTCTGTTGATGTCATCCCTCTACCACCCCCATCCCCTCACGTCTCCCAGGCTGGGCTCAGAGTCCCTGAACTGGTCTCCCTTCCTCTAGCCTCACCCCCTCGCCCATCCCTCCCCTGGGGCTAGGGAATGTTCTGTGGTTCTGTTTGCTGGTAATTTATCCCAAGTTCAATGCTTTTTTTTTTTTTTGAGACAGGATCTTGTTCTGTCACCCAGACTGGAGTGCAGTGGCACGATCTCAGCTCACTGCAACCTCTGCCTCCTGGGTTCAAGTGAT